TATATACATGAAGGATTTAATTAAGAAACTTTAAGGTACAGTGTGTAAACTCTCACCAATAGATTTCAGCAGATAGCATTTTTCATTCGGCTGAATTCTGTTTTCTTACCCCTCCCAAATTAAATGTATAATCCCAGCTATGGTGGCCAATATAGGACAAAAAACTCTGGTTGTTGTTCATCTGTAGTGAGTATAGGTTGTCAGTCCATTGTTTACCTCAGTTGTCAGTATGAGTCGTCATCTATTTACTCTGGAAGAGGCTGTAAAACTTTGTGAAAGGAATCTGATATGAGTCGATGAGTCAGTGAGGCTCACTTCTGTCTGATGACAGCGATACCGAGGTAAGTTTTTGAGGAGATCCTGAACTTTTCTCCTGGTAAGTGCTGCTGTTAGCAGGTGTTAGCTAAACTTTTTTTTCAAGTGGCTCTGACTTCTGAAACTCTAGAAACTCTGAATGTAATAAAACTTTTTATCAGAGGGGAAGTGTGATTCTTGAGTCTAACATTAGCTGGCCCATTGTCAGCTATCTGGAGACATAGTGAATCAGAGATATTGAAAATATACAAGTACAAATGTTAAATGGTCACATATACTTTAAAAGAGCGACTTGTGATCTTTAATCTAAAAGTAACTTATAGCACGTACTACGTACAGTATGTGGCTGATCGATAGCCAAATGTGATTAGAAAAAACAGTCGACCACTGTGTAAAGATGGCAAGACAACATGTCAGCTTCCACAAAAGAGCAATCGCTCCTATGTATTTTAGTGGATTCATTAAAAAGATGGTTATGACAATAACTATTCTATTACATTATCTAAAAAATACTTACTTTACCTTTATATTTTTGATCAAATGTAATTTATTTGTTTTAAACCATTTCTTGTTTTTCCCCACCAATCCATTTCAAGCTTAAATGTGGTTAAATCAAGTTATAATTAATATTCATTCCTTTACCCTTTATGGTTTTCTAAGTTTATGCGTTGGTTCTTGAAGCATTACTGCGCTATTACTACTAGTATCTCAAGAACTATTTAAATACCTGTTGTCCTATATACGTTTTGTTGCAATTTTTTCGTAGATAAAATAGAGTGAGACTGCGATTTTAAGCTCACACCTCATATCAGTGTGTCACAGGCAAGAAAAAGCTCCACTGATCCAACAGTCACAACACTAAGGCGTATCTGACATGTTGTCTCACTGTTTCCCGTTGCTTTCTGACTTGGGACACATCAAAACCAGTTGAGACTCCAGTAACAACACTTAAACCCTCACCAAACAGAAACAGAGCGGACCTAAAACGCTGTGCAAATGTGACGCTGCAGCTCACACGGAGCCCCTGAATATGCAGCGGGGGGATATGCTGGCCCCCGGCAGCCGCAGCAACAGACGCTGTAAAGAAGCGCTGAGATTCAGCACCATGGACAGCGGCCAGCAAACTTCACTGCAAACTTTGCCGCTCTCTGCCTAACCCAGTGTTACTGAAACAAAGCATAATGTCCAGTTAACATGAACTTGGGTTGGCCTAAATCTCGATGAAGCTTATTTAATAAAGTTTGAAAACTCACAAGACGGGCGTAAATTCTACTGTCTGTAACACAACATAAGAAATGGGCAACAAAAAGTAACTACAAAAAAGACACCAAATTAAAAGGTACAGCACAGTGTGGTGTAAGAGGAGTTTGGCTGCGCTGTTGCTAGTGTTTTAACTAGCAAGCAGTTTCCTACACATGTAGCTAACCGAACCACGTGTGCACACTCTGGGTAAAATACCCACAAGCAATAATACAGAAAATTAAAATGATGCTCCCTAAACAACTCTAATGATGGTTTTTATTTATTACAAAAAAAAAACAACCCCCCAAAACTCTATTTTTATGCGCATGTGCTGTGCGGCCTAATATAATACAAAAACAAGTGCTAAGTGTTGATTCACTACGCTATCAATAACAGACTAATTATCAACCACTGGCGGACTAATTATGACCCGTAAAACGGATCTAATCGTATTAGCTACATATTTGGGCTGCTATGCTGCCTATAACATTTTCCCAAACCAGTGGAGCCATGGTATGTAGCCAGGCGCTAGCTAATAAACAGCTGCTGTGTAGTAATAAAGAGCGAGCGGGGTTTTATCCGCTTAATTGGCGGCTAATGACACCACACAGCAGCGTGTTGGAAAAAGAAAAACTCACCTAAGACGAAAAAGGGGAGCTCTGTGTTTTCCAGGTCGTCCACCACCACCACGTCCCCGGGAAAATCGTTTCTAACAGAGAACAGAAGCTTGGGCTCAGAGGCCGAGGGACTGTGCATGATGCTCAGGTCGTTTTCTCTTAAAAACGGCAGCGCCGACACGGTGACGCTCTTCATCTTGCACTCGGTGTCCTGGCTCTGGTCCTCATCGCCGTTAAGACATCGGACGTAAACCGCTTGGAGGGCCAGGAGAGCCCACGCCAGCTCCAGCAGCAGCAGCGGTCTCGGCCCCATGTTGATGCTCGCCATATCGCTCCGTTTCCTCTCCCCTCCTCGCTGTTTCTCTCCCAGGCAGCTTCAGTCGCTCAACCCGGCGGACGACAGAGCGCCAGAGAGAGTGAATGGGGGGCGTGCTACACCGGCGGGCTCTCACAGTGTGGGAAACAAGCGCCTCTTCTTTCTCGCATATGATCAATCACAGGATTTTGTTGTACATGTGCTACTCCCGCTGAACACTGATAATGTAGCAGTGTTTTAATGCTGTTGACCCCCTTTGTTGTAATTGATCGACAAACTGTCCAAATGGCTGTAATGGCTACGCAAAGATTACTAACAGCAAACCACCCAGGGTGCCCCGAGGGTCCCATCAGTAAAAGAAACATAATTTGTAATTTAATTGTCTGCTTGCCCTGTCATAGAAACTTGCACATAATCTCCAAGGACACCACAGAGCATCCTTAGAAGCTTGCCTGACCTCAGTGTACATGCATAATTGCCTAATTGATGGTGCAGATGACTGTTAGGAGCGAGTGTCGGTGTCTGCAGTGGCCCAGATATGAAGTACACTTTAGTGAAAAATCTCTCACCAAATTTTAGGAACCTTACAAATAAAATTAAACTATATGTTGTAAATGTTGGCAACCAGTACTGAGTAACGAAGTGCCACAGAGATAACAAGAGAGAGAAAAAAGTGTTTTTTCATTATTGCTAATTTTTAAACAGGGCATTTTGAGGAAGTGTGACATAATATATACAATTTTAAGAGTACACTGAAATAAGACTGCATTTGGCACCATTACATTATGTTCTGCTATATCTGGTGAGGTTACATAGAACCCTGAATACTGGTGTTATAAAGGTCAGCACTGAATTTTCATGATAATTGTGCATGTTTTAAAAATAAATAAATAAAATGGAATTGTTTTCAATACTCTGTCAGGTTTAATATGCTTAACATCTATTAGTTCAAGACCTGGCAGGAACCTTTAATGTGCATGTCCACAGTTAGTGGTGTATAAATGGCTAAAATGAGAAAATACAGCTATTCAGTTTGATTTCAGTTTTTGTAAATGACACACTTTGAACTGGCGCATCTCCCCCC